ACCAGCCGCAACTTTTTAGCCGAAGCTGCAGGGTTCCGGAATAAAAAAAAACCCCTTCTCCGCAGAAGCAGAACGCCAAAATCTCTGAGTCTCGACAAAATAATGAAACACAAATGATAGAATTTAACACGAGCAGATTCGTAGCACAGCGTTGACTTGAAAATCCGGCCAACTCGTTGCTCCTAATTCCACGATTCTGTTACTGATCCGCTACGGCATTGAACAGATTCTCACTGGACGCTGAGATCGCATCCAATCATTGAAGCAGGCCCAAATGACCTCAATTAAATAGATTTCACAGTTACAATGTGCTACAATGAAATATAACTGGCTGCAAAATATCGATTATGCCGAAAATTTTTCTTCCTCTCGTAAATTAGCTAAGAATGCCGACACCTTTTGCACTTGCAGATAATCCTCGAAATCCTTCATTTTCGTTACGTAATGCTAATGCTCGTCCGAATGCTTCAATGACGAATTTTCGTATCAAACCCGAAACTTTCAATCGTTCCTCTCCTTGGTTACAGTATCAAAAACATTTTGAAATTACCGTAAATCATAATGGTTGGTCATATGGAGTTCAAGGCGAGTAATTAGCTACTTGCCTTAAAAACTCAACTTATTCTACAAAAAAATATAAACTGTTGATTTACATTACAAAAAATGAACCGACATCTTGAATGAGAAATTCCAACAACAGAAATCAGGAAAATTCAATAGAGTCAATTCGTTGAGGGACAAATTGACTCAATCAATTCCGATTGCGAATGAATGCTTTGAAATACTTAATTCACAACTCAATCAATAGAAATTAAACTTGAATTTAACAGTTGAAGAAAAAATAAATGGACACTCTTGCTCAATGATTATCGATTCCGAATCTGATATTGCACTTGTTAATCCTCGTGTTTTTGCTAACAATTTGGATGAATTAAAAGAGGTAGATAAACCCATGACAATTTCCACGGTTTCTAATTCGAATTCCCCCTATAAAACCATCAAACAGATCACAATGTCGATTGAAACTTCTTCTATGAAATTAGATGCAGTTGTTGCCGACATCCAAAACGCTTGCATTTTGAGATTGGATTTTCTTTTCAATTCAGGATTATTAAACGCGTTCCAGTCTCTCATTAATAAAAAATTCGATATTGATAATCCTCTCAAATCTGTTTTTGTCAATTGAGTAAAATCTGTGGATATTCGTGAAAAGTCTGAGTTTCTGAGAAAATTTCCGAGTTTTTAAGTAAACACTTTGAACACTCATGTGATCAATTGCATTCAGAGAAATAAAAAGCGCTAGAACATTTTTTTTTCAAGTATCAAACATAAAATCGTTTTAGAAAATCCTCGACCCATTAAACAGAGTCCGCGAAGAATTCCTTCCCATTATCGTAATAAAATTCACGAATTATTTGAAGAAATGAAAGAACAAAGAGTAATTGAACCTGGTCAAGGTCCTTGGGCTTCTCCGGTTGTGTTAATCAAGAAGGAAGATAGTTCCATTCGTTTTTGTGTCGATTATCGTCGTTTAAATGATGTCATGAAGAAACACTCTAAATCTTTTTCTCGTGATTAAATTTTTGCCACTAGTTCTCTAATTGGTTTTCGACAATTGATCTAAAGAGTGCTTACTGGCAAGTTGCAGTGGGCCCCAAAGATAGAGAAAAGACTACATTTGCTGTTGGCGATGAGCTTTGGCAGTTTAAAATGCTACCATTCGGTCTTTGTAATGCACCAGCTACTTTCGTTAGAGTCATGAATAATGTTCTCGACAGATTAACTCCAACCAAGGATCCACCGTCTGCAGTTGTTAGAGGTATTTGGCTCAGGTAATCCTGGTCTAACGACCGACGTGGAGAGCAGAACTCTTCACTATTGGACCAGCCGATGACAAAGGGATTTTGAAGAAGAATAATCGACCTGGAAATTTCCCCGAGACCGTCAGAATTTTCACAGATTCTCTACGTTATTGACTTGATGCTGTTATTCCGATCGAGCTCGAGAGTTTCATCTCCGAGAATCTTCTATTTTGAAAATTGTGTGAAACTCCGGAAAGTTTATGTTAAATTTGGAGAAAATTATTTTTGACTTATTTAAAATGGATAGGCGAAATTATTGTGAAATTTAAAGTCACGTGATTGATGTCAGGCATTACTGTTATTGTTCCAAGAATCCAAACAGTCCAATTGTTCCAAGAATTATGGGTATTACGGGAAAAGCGGCAATTAGACGAGTTTATTTTCGCAAAAATTCGGAAAAATGTCGTCCTTTTTGTGAGGCTCAATCAGTGTGAAGCGTTCCAGCTTAAGCTTGAACAGAGTCGCTTCCCGGCCGGCGTAGAATTAAGTTGAGTTTTGAGGGGAGAACCTTGTTCTCATATGTTGAGTCAAATTTGGACTATTTTGGCCTCCCGGTTGCTGTTCTCCCTGAAGGTGGGCAGAACAGAATAATAGATATTCTTGAGGAAATTTTGAATTTTTAAAGAGTCCATTGTTAGCCGTGTAATAGCTGTGGCCTTCTTTTCAGTTCAGGGAATCGGACAGTTCCCAGTGAGAGTGAAAGTCGAGTCAAATGAGATTTAACTTTAATATTGTTATTTTTTATATTTTATTCGTTCTGGATATTTTGATTGTCAGTCACATATCCAAATAATTTTGTAGTATTGATCGTCGGAGAAATTGGTCAATTGGAGTTTTTTCTTGTGGTGTTAATTTTGTTTTATCGTGACGGGAACGTGAAACCCTCAGTGAAAATTTTGTATTATTTTTGTTCAACTTTATATTTTTTTGAGAAATATACGATTTTTTATTTTGACTTCAAAACCTGTGTATTTTTGTGTTGTAACTAGTGGAGTCTTGTAATTCTAGGGTTGAGCTGAGAGGTGTCAGTGCCTCGCATAAAACAATTTTCACTGACTGGCGCCAAGGCTAGATTGGAGTTATCGAATCAGTGATTTTTTAATTGAGAATAAATTAATATATATTTAATATATTAATAAATAAATGTTTATTTTTTGGAGTAGAGGCGTACGTTACAACTTCAGAGAATAATTTGGCGCCCGACGTGGAGCCACCTCTGGTATTTTCCTATACTCTAAATCAGGCATGGGCAAAGTCGGACCTTCGGGAGCCGGGGCCACAAAACCCTATTAGACTTATTATTCGAAATAGAATATGCCCGCTTTCTTTTCAAATTTAAAAAACTTTGCCGCCAGAAAATTCAAACAAATTTTCACCAATTCAACATGAAAAATCCTTAGTTGCAATTGTTCAAACATCATGGTGCCAGAAACTGGTTATTTCTTGGTTACCTTAATAGTGAGTAATTATTTTATTAAAAATTGAAAAACATATAAGATGTCAATTCTTGAACATTCAATCAATAAATTATGAATGTAAGGTTTATTTTATAAGTTTTGCCCACTCTTGGCCAGATCACATATTTTTTAAACTGCGAACATTTTTCAATTACCTTTGCTCGATCACTCTCTGCAACTAATGATTTTTAAGTTTTTCTGCAATAATTATTCATTTTCACGGTTAACTGGAAGTGAATGAATTTTCAAATGTTTAACAGTGGGATCGATATAATGGAAAAAAGTCAACAAGATATGAAATGATGGAATTCCTATTTTTTGTATTCTTGTGCGTTTTCAAGGTCAAACCTCCTTAAAATTTTTCAAGTACTGCTTAGAAAATGTTTAAACTAAATGAACAAAAATTAACAAATCTTTTCACCAGTGGTTTTGCAGTCATTTGCTGCCGAAGTAGTCAATTCCGAGTGATTTATTGAACGAAAGTTTATACGGAAGTTGATATAGAAGAAAAAGATTAATTGATATTTTTTAACAATGCAAAATACAGCAAGAAATATATTCATATTTTTCATTCAAAAATTCAAATGTTTGCGCGTTGACTGACGTAACGATACTCCCACTCTGATCCAAGCATTGTAGTTTCGCCCCTCCGACTACCTGTACAATACAATAGGGCTCATTCTTTTATAGTCATTGGACTAATTGGGGTTGGGAGCTAGGTGAGCCCATTGACTGCACTTTGCTCATGCCTAGTCTAATAATATGTGCCACTTCGTGTGTCCTCATAATATCTAGATCAATAAGAAATGACTTAATTCTATTTCATAAATAATGATATTTCTGGGGTATAACAGCCATCAAATTATTAAGCTGCCAATTATAAGGGACCTAACGTGATTACAAGGGTTCTTGTTTTTTTGTGTGGTGGGGGTAACATCGAGCGATGGCGGATTTATGCACGTGTCTGGACATTTTCTTTTTCATTAAAAAAAATGGAATTAAAAGCTGATGGTTTAGATTTCATATTGGTCGGTGCAAATGAAAGTGGGATGCTTGTGAACTTGAGAAAGAAACATTTCATCATCAATTTAAGATTAAAGGACCCCGATAATTTTTTTGATTGTGAGAAATTTGTACCTTTTAATTTGGCGTCGAGAGCGGGAGATATAGAAATGAAAAGTTTACAAATGCATGTCAAGTCAGGTCTATTAACAACATGGTAATATCCAATAATTGTTTTTCAAACAATATTTCCATTATAATTTCAAGATTACTTCAAGAAATCTATGAAACGTACGAAATATTTTTTTATAAAGACGATGAAAAGCAACCAATAACCAATTAATAGCATACCAACAAATATTACCGGTATTTAAACTCGAAACCTGTTGTATTTGTGGCGACCATCTTATCTACTGTGTCAAGGCACCGGGCCCCAGACAAATCATCTAAGTCCGAAACCCTTATTGAGTTGTGACAAACTTATTGTGATGTGTTCAGTAATATTTTTCCTATATTATTACTTATCTTGTAAGGCAGTATTCTCTATAAACGGAAAGAGAGTTTAATATATAAACTCCGTATAATAGTGATCTCAAAAATTGAGCAATTAGTAAAATTGAGCAAGTTCTCATGAATTATAAACTCATTATGCCTATTAATATATTATTTTTTCCATCAGACATGCTCCGAAGGATCCCAGTCCAGCACCTGCAAGTACAATCAGCACCGTTAATATTTTGGATGCAATGGCAAGCGATAGCAGTGATTCCGATGGTGAGGTTGAACCACCTCTCTCAAGCCGTCTATATGCTTCGAAACCCAGGATCTTAGTACAACGACGCGCCACAATAACTGGGGCAAGTCCTACCACTAAGCATGCAATTGACATAGAACAATTTTGGAAGGAGTTGCAGCAGGAACATAGTACAACTTTTCAATTGAGAGATAAGGCTGCATCCTGCGCCCTCGGCTTAGATATCGTGCCTTCCGCTGTTCGCCCGCAAACCTGCTTGGGCATTGAGCAATCAAAGCGTAAAAAAAGACTTGATGGAAAAAAAGAAGCAAGCGAAATAGTATCTAAAAATAAGGTGAAACCGCACAAAATGGAGTGTACTGAGATGATTAATGTATCAAAATATAGTGAGAAAAAATCTAATATCAACACGGAAATGGGAGAAATGAAAGACCATTGCCATTCTTCCATCTCCTCAGCCAAACAAAACAGTTCGGATACAACTAGTAATATTCATGATATTGATATAAACTACTCCCCCAACACTAGAAAATATTACTGCAACGACCAAGGAAAATTGGAGAAGAGTTCTAGTGTTCCGGTATGTAATGTAACAGGCATGAGGCCTACTGAAATCAATCCTTGTGATATTTCAAGTTTATTAGAAGATACCCATAAAAAAACGAATGGTGCTGCAGTTGGTAATACTGATACTAATTGGAATGAGAAAAATTTCAAGACTGATACAGCGTTGGAGATGATTGAATCTATTCAAGTCGGTATTATTTCACACAATATTGATTCCATAGAGAACAAATTTAGGAAAGATATCGCGGAGCAGCACGTTAATGGTGAGGTACTTGATGCAAAAACTTCATGCACGAATCCTTCAAGTGAGAATTTGAAGAACGACCAAGATGAAGCAGTTGAAATCATAAGCTCCAATCCCAAAGGCTCATTAACCCCTAGTAAGATAATCCAAGCAGAGACTCGTAATTGTGTGGACTACTCGTCGAAAAAAACTGAACTGATCGGTAGTCATCCAACGGAAATTTATCCTAGTAATAGTGAAACTAGCGTTCCTCTGGTTAAATTTAAACAGAGCAGTCTGCCTTTAACCGAGAACAATAAAATCTCAGATATTAATACTACAGCGTACTTGATGACTTCTATGGATATTTTTGAAAATATGTACGTGAGATCAGACTTGAAAGAGAATCTGAGCCCACAAGTAACGGTGCTACCATCGATTATGCTCAAACTTGATACTAAAACAGAGAAATATAAGAAAGAATCTAGAGCTTCGTCCCTTACTTGTATAGAATCCACCCAATGTAGAAGATCAGACAACAAAGTGCATTCGACACCACCGGAGCCTCCTCTTCGCCAAGACGTTACCAATCCACCACCTTTAAATTTGAATGTCAACTCCATTTCATCTCAACTCCCAGAGAGGCGGAGAGTTCTTTTACCTCATTTAAATTCAGAAAGAGAAATGCATGAAGTTGTAATGCACTCAACCTCTGAGCCGGTAGTCCCGTCAAATCAGAGAGATACCGCAGTACGGTGTCATGATTTTTTAGAGAAATCGACCGATTTTGTAAACGCAAGCATTAGTTCAGCACAAGAGCGAAGATCTTTCGGCTACTCAAAAACCTACGACAACCATACAAAAGAGAACAAGTCAGTGGCAGAGAGATATGAACCTTTCATTGATAAATTCGGAAATGGGAAGACGTTGATGTTACAAAGGCAATCACAAAATATTTCTCATACTACTGATTCGCCAGATGGAGCCGGATACTCGACACAAACACCAGGATTAAAGTCGGGAACGTTGGAGAAAGACAAACATAGTGAAAAAGGGGTTGTCAATAGAGCGATGATGGTGGCGAGGAGTATTGGACTTCAGAGTTCGTCAAAAATGTCATCGAATAGTCCTCGAAGTAATAGAAAACGGAGCATGCTGTTAGCAAAACGACGGAACGTTTCCGTTAAAGATATTGGGGCCGGAGAGTTGGAAGGCTGGTTGACGTATCGGAGCAGGGGGGCTGGAGGAGCTTGGGCGAAGTCGTGGTTCGTACTGAAAGGCTCTTCTCTTTACAGATTTGAAACCTTCGAAAGTATTAAGTCGGATTGTCTAATTGTGCTGACTGGTTTCACTGCCTCCAAAGCTCCAGAAGTGAAGTCTCGGAAATTTGCATTCAAAGTTTATCATACTGGAACAGTATTTTACTTCGCGGCCGATACAGAAGACTATTTATTGCTTTGGTTAGATTGTATCAATAAAGCAACACTAGGAGTTGATTGTCCTAATAGAATGAGCGGATTATTCAGCGAAACAGACGACAGTGACACTGAATCTTCTAAGGATAAATCCAAAAATACTGGATCAGAATTCAAACAAAATCTTGATAACGCTTTTGGATCTTTAAAAAAAGTCGGGAAGAAGAACTCTGAAGTAAAAAATCATGAAATTGGTGGCACCAGCTTGGATAGGAAATATCTTCGATTCTTACGTTCACGGACTCAAAACGTACCAGTCCCTACTGCACAATTCAGAAGCTATCGTAGAGTACTACCATTATCCACCACGAATAAAAAATTAGAGAGCACGTCAACTTCGCCGGATCTGCGGGTGATGGTCGCGGGCAGTACGTTCTATGCATTAACCTCCTCACATAGTTCCACGGATATGCCAACTTCTGGCCAAGATATGGAGGATTATCGGCAAACAACTGACAGGTAATTGTAACAGCACAAACGTTTTTAGTGATAATTAGTACTTATTTTTTTTTACTTTTCATCTACTCGTCTTTGCCGTCAACAATAACATTTGCAAATTGATACTGACCTACTTTTATTTACAATATACTAATCTTCCATGATGGTAGAATGGATACCCGACAAAAAAACATTGGCTTTAAGGGGAACACTTCCTAGTAGCGTATAATAGAACCCAAAAAAAACGAGACCCCAATGCTCCAAGTGCGCTGAGTCTTATTTGAATGCTTTGAGTAACATCATTATATAACTTCATGTAGATTATAACGGGACTTTTCGAAAATTCAGGATATTAAAGAGAAATAAGTCGGACTCAATTGAGTGAATAACTGGAGGGGGTGACCAGATGATACCTTAATCTTAGTGAGGTTCATGTCAGTCCCGCCCCGTCGCGAACCCTAGGTAACGCTAAGTGCTGGTAAGGTTAATAGTACCCTATCACACATTGTATTGAAATTAACCTAATTTGTAAATCAATTTTAATATCATATATCATCAGAGGGGAAGGGCAGCGGGTGGTTCCGGACCCCTACCCAAGCATAAACACGTAGGATATGCTGTTGTATTCGATATCATATAGTTTTTTTTGCTAATGAATTAGCAACTCGCTCCCGAACCGTTATTCGCAATCTATAATTGATATAACAATGTACTGATTTTCCGCTTTTTTCTCATTTTTTATCGAGATTGGGAATTCTACATCCATTCGGAATAATAGTCATTGCCGCGTCTGTTTTAATCTTCAATAAAACATGCAACATCTAAGTATTGTTTTAGGAATTTAATATAAGTTTTTCTTTTCCTTTTCAATTGATTGTTGCGAATGTTCATCGAAAGAAAGATATCGACAAATTGTAGCTATCACGTAATTTTACGTTATCAATTCAATTGCGGAATAGTGGATTCTTGTCACGTGGTAACAACTATGGCGGATAAAGTCAGGTTTTCATGTTGACTGATAACGATAATTCCTGTTGCTTTTGAATCAACAATCAAGCTCTCATCTTCATACAATTATTATTAGCAAGACTCGAATCAAGAAACTACGAATTCATTGAAAAAAATATTGCCTGTTTACCGGTCCATGATTCGTACCAGAAATTTCAACCTCCGAGAAGGCAAATCGAAAGTATTATTCATGTGTGCTTGTAGTTATCGTTCAGGGTTCACGTCTTCGTCACATAGTATAACAACATTTTGTGTATTTTGGATACGTCATTTATCGTGATTCTTTTTGATGAGTGTATCAATTCAAATAAATTTGGGATTTTTATGCCGAAAGGCTTTTTCCCATAATTTGTGTTTTTCCTTCATGTTAACGATAAGGCCAGCTGCCGTGCCACCTAAAGTATGACCGCTTGCAAAAATTTATTCTCTTCTAGGTAGAGAGATTTACATTGTTATCATTATCATTTATATTGGTAATAATAATTAATTCCCTTCTAAGAGTTCGAGAACTGATTTCTAAAACTAAATGGCTGTATAATATTGTTCACATTACTTTCAAATTTGGATGAGATATTGTTGTAGAAGAATTATGCATACCCAATGAAATGAATCAAACATAACGAGTGCGAAGAAACCATCACAAAACTCGCTTTAAAGAAAAATGACATAAAATTTTGAATTTGTAATGACGGTAATAGATGTCACATGACTAGGTACTGTTGGTATTGATGGCATCGAAAGTGATGTTAAAAACTTTACATAAAATCCTTTTGAGCATAAAATATTTTTTTAAAAAATAAATAAATAGACAACTATTGTCGCTATCACTTTCATCTTCGAACTCGGTTCAAAAGACATTTGAGTGAATTTTTCAAGCCATCCAGGATTTGATTCAAACCAATTTTTTTTCAATCATCGTCAAAATCCGAAATGTCAAAAAAAAATTGAAAAATTGAAAAAAAAAATTATACCAATCGAAACGAATTCGAATTAATGTCGATGGATGGAGCTCGATAGTGACTACATTTAAAAAAAAAAGTTACTTGATTGCATGCATCAAGTCGTGCGCAATTCAAAAAAATTTTTAAAAGTTGAAAAAGACGTTTGTCACATACATACATACACACATACATACATGCGTATGGCCAGGGTCTAAAAATTGCATTTTCGAACTTTTTGGCCCATAATGGATTAATCCAACACAAAAAAACAAAAACTTATTTCTGCACGATTACAATGCTCCCGTTTTATGGCCCTGAACTTTGCTGAAAATGATCTTTCTCAGCGGATATTTCAGTGAAAAATCGAGGGATTTGAAAATATCAAATTTTTTTTTTATAGGAAGAGATTTAGTGGTGATAGTTGTCAAGTATATAAAAATATTATTTTAAGGGTACGTTTCATGAGATATTAGCTTTTTAGAACAATTAACAGTGGATATCTAGCTTCGAAAGTGATTTAAAAAAAAAATGTCATCATTAGAATTTGCCCCAATTTACTGGTGACATTTTTTTTCCCATTCTAATTCCCGAAGTTTAATCCACTGTCAAAGGATAAATGTTTGTGAAGGTTTAAATTACGTTTGAGTAGCTCGATTTGAAAAATTAAAAAAGTCACATATACAGATTTTCATAAGCTTCTGGTGACATTTCGGGTTTTTTCTTAAAAATGTTGAATTTGTGAAATATACAATGTTCTTTCAGAGCGACATTAACCACCGAAAATGAACTTACAGAAGATGATTAAACATCAATGGAGAATAGATAACATATTAGATTAGAAGATAAACATTTGATCATTTTGTTCCACAGTTTCCGTATGCGCAACATGAAAATTTGTCTAATAAATCGTTTAAATATTGGATTTCTTTCAGCAAAGGCATAATATCTTCTAAATAAAAAAATCTACTAACAATTCTTACCTTCATTTTCATGGGATTTTTTTCTTCACATATAGTATTTAGGTTGAATAATTATAATATAGGAGATTTGGCAGCCATTACGTTTAATTCCATCAATCGAAAATTGCAACAGGATTCATTTTGTTGAAATTGTGCATAATCTCACTCCCATTATTTTCATCGTCTATGCATAATTAATTCGAATGCTTAGAGTATAGAATGACGGTAGACTGACTACGTTTGCGCCGTTTTGGCAGAGTCAATGGCATTCGTTTATTGTAGCTTTGAGCGCCATCTCGACGATTTTCAAATACACCCGGGATAACATATGAAGATGAAATTTTTATCTCCCCAATTTTGGAATTATTCACTGATTACGCTTCCAAATGACATTGAAAAACACCCATGAACGCACAATGTAAGTTCCACCCCTTTTTTTCGCCATTGCATTCGAAGTGATGATGCGTGAAGGATATATTACATCAAGTGTGATAAAAAGTTTGTGAAAAAAGTGTTTATATTTCTCCAATTCCATTTACCATTCGCTCTGTGAATAACTGGAAGGGCCATAATCATGAAATTCGACGATAATGTGGCAATTGTAGCCACTGTTCATTGCATAAACAAAGACTCTGATCTCAGAAATGGCCCCACTGATAAAAAAATTTTTGGAAGCATTTGTGATTATTTGAAAATTAGAAAATATCTTCGTCGGAAATTTCGATCAAATTTAATTTTCGCTTGGCGTAAAAATCTACGTGATTTCAAAACAAGAGTGAAAGAAGAATTCAGGGATAAAGTGAAGAAAAGCCGAAAAACGCGTACCGAACCATTCAATCGAGACACCAACATCGAATTTTCTTTGAGTGCGTCGCGTGACAATAAATCTAAGGGGAAAAATTCGTTTAAACCGAGATTTCAACGAAAGTTTACAAGGAAACACTATCAATACGTCGGGTCCTTTCCTATCGGTAACGAGTATATAATTCACAAAAAGAGAGTTTTTCTAGAAAAATTGCATACAAAATTAAGAATGGAATTACCAAGCGTTTTAAACATCACGTGCTCTTTGCGTTTCAAGGGGAATAATCCACGTAATAATGGCAAGTTTACGGACTTCGCGTTATGCAGACAGTCGAAATGTGAGAAAATGTTTAAAATTACTGGTGAAATGAAAAAATTTGAGACATTAGTGAACATTTTTGCAACATCAAGTGCGTCTATTCATGACCAACCCCTTGCATATCAATTACGCGGTGATGAACAAACAGAACTTCAAGAAAAGTTGAGATTTGCTCAATAATGACATGGACGAAACACTGGCCCGTGAAGATAAGAATTATCAATTCGTACATTCTCTCAATGTTCTGCGAAAGGCTAAATCCGAAAAAGTTGCTAAGAATAACCGCTACGACAATGAGGTGTTCGACATTATTCTGAGTATATCTGATACACTGGGAAATCATCAGTATGTTCGAGAATTTGTCGCACCATTTAAAATTTCTTTGGCATGTGCAGAGCAGGTCGCATTTTTGAAACGTCATTCGGGTTTAATATTATATTTTGATGCCAGCGGATCAGTAGTGAGCAAACCATTTCTCAAGTCCAAACGCGTTTACTACTATTCAGGTGTTGTCAATGTACGTGGAAAAATCTTACCACTTCTCGAATACGTTACAAACGACCATACCACTCCTTCGATTAGGGATTTTTGCAGATTGATCAGGAATTACTGGGAAGAAAAAAAGGTAGCATGGCCTCCTTTTCGACTCATTTGTCACGGATTGGTTCTGGGCGAGCATAAATGCACTGATGGGGGCTTGGAACGATCTGACAGTGGTAGAATACCTGGAGCTTGTGTTCAATGAAATCCAGAACAACATCTCTTTACCATCTTACATCATGCGCCATTCTCTATGCTATGCCCATTCGATGAAAATGATTTCACGATGGTTACATGGTAAGAGCATTAATGATAAGAATATCCCGTTGTATTTGGAAGGTATAGCCTTGATTGCTCATAGCAATAATTTGAATGCAATGACCGTACACGTCGAGTCTCTTATTACGATATTAGAATCCCCTTTCGAAAATGATCGTGTGAAAAAAGCGT